ACTGATCGATTACAGTCCTAAACATCAATAGGAAAATTTCAAACAACCAATACAAACGAATAATTATATGATGTTGACGAAATGGTGACTGTCAACAAAACTAAGGTTGCCGACTTATCAATGTTACTACTACCACTACTAATATTACTACTCTTAATTGTAATTCATTTTATATTGAAAGAAAAAGGGACACCGTTTATCTTAAGATGGTAGTATTAAATATAATTTCATAGTAATATTCAGGGTCAAAGTGTATAGTGTAGCGGCGAGGTTAAAAATACCGCAATAAACAATCATGATAATGTTGATTGTTTTGTTATACTCCATTTGTTTGGGAAGAATTGAGCATTCGATATATATTCAAATTATCTGCACCTGAAGAGATCGTAAATATCATACAGAATTCACACGATGGACTACACTGCAAAGTCGTGAATGGAGTACAGCTGACAGATGCATTCCCAGTGAGGACCGGAGTCAGATATGGCTGGTTACTCTCCCTCTTCCTCTTTCTTCTGGTGGTCGAGTGGATTATGAAGACTTCGAAATCTGAGAGGAAACACAGAATACAATGAACAGCCCACAATCAATTAAGAGATTTTGACTTAACAGATGGCCTGGACCCTCTATTCCAGACACACGAACAAATGCAGATGAGGACAACCAGTGTAGCAGCAGCTTCTACATCAGTAGGCCTCAACATACACAAACGAAAAAAGGAAATACTCAAGCACAACACGAAGAACACCAACCCATTCACACCTGATGGCGAAACTCCGTAAGATGTGGAAACTTTCATGTACCTGGGAAGCACCATAGATGAACAAAGGAGGATCGAATGCAGACGTAAAGGCGAGGATCGGTAAAGCAAGGGCCGCATTCGTACAATTGAAGAATATATGGAAGTCAAGACACCCGCCAACTGACATCAAGGTCAGAATCGTCCGTATGAACGTCAAAACAGTTCTACTGTACGGATATTTTACAAAGACTAAAATATGGTATGTAAGATATTATAATTATGGACTTATAACTGTAGAGCCTGATGTTGAAGTTATTGAAAATGGTTGTTCGCTCGAATATCCTCTTCATTTTTAAAGTGTAAATCTAAATTAATTATTAACCGTTTACTAATTACAAATAACTTAGATAATAACGCACAAAATTTATCGGAACTATTATATTTTTATAATATTTTTATTGTCCATTTACATCGTATGTACTTTTATTGTATAAGTTAGGTCAAATGTCCGATGATTTTTTTTCAAACAAGGAATTATTTTGTTTGAAAATTTCATTTTGCAAATTCATTAGAAATCTGTATTGATAATAAAACACTATTTACGTTATAAAGTGATCTTATTTAGACAACCGTTAAAAACCTGGAAGCACTAGACAACTATTTTGTTTTAGTATCTATCGAACTCTTCATCAGTACTCATCGACAACCTCACATAGGATCGAATTCAATATATTAAGGTGTTTAGGCAAGCATGATGCTAAATACTGAGAAACTTGAATGGAAACATTTTAATTATTGTCATACTTTTGTCTATTAGTATCCTTAAACAACATAAAGTTGGAGGCAATTGCATCGGAACTCATTCACTCATTATTGTGATCCATTAAGAAATAAGTTTCATCATTTGAACTTTCTCATTTGAATAATAAATGGTTGACATTGACTATAAGAAAATTTTTACGAAATAATTTTTTTAATTAATTGCAATTCGAATGTGTGTTTAGAAGAAACTTGTTGAAATATTAAATAATAGTTTCTAAGAATTCTTTCAAAAACGGTCACAAATTTCTTAAATTTTGTTAACAGTGCTAAAATCTTACCAGGAATGTTAACCTCAAATTCTTTCTTCCTAATTTAATTTTCTGAGTGATTTTCACATTGCCATTGTCTTTAACTCTCTAGATTTCTGTATGCTTTAGTATATTTTCGACAAAATTTATACGAAGTTGTACTATATCGTTTTGTTGCGCTTGTTCTACCTAAAATATCAAGTTTTCTTACTGTTCATCTTCTCTGTATGCTAATCATTTTGGTGTTAATATGTTGTGTGCTAGTTCCTCTTATCGATTTCCACAACAGAACTTGTAGTATTAGGGTAGTTAAATCATTTCTAATCAAGCAATTATTGTAGATGATAAGTGTGCCACTGTTATACCTATAGAATCACTAATTGACTTAGGCGTAATACTGAGAACGTTCAGTCTGACAATGTGTAGTGAAAACATAATGACTGCTAATATGGATTCATTCGACTCTGGAAATAAATCAAATTGAAATACGAATACACCACTAATTAGATGATTTATCAGATTTGTGTAGACTTAACTTAGTAGTATTTAATAACAATGAATCAATAAATTACTTTGTGAACATATACTACAATATTATGCAATTAAGCATCTATAATGAACAGATATAATTAACTAATTAAGTTATATAATTACTTCTTTACAGGATGTCACAGACAATTAGAAAACAAATCGATTTCATATGTTACTTGCACTTCATTAGATTAAGTCCTTGTTTGGAAAATTCGTAGGTTTGTATTGAATTTCAAATACTGAAATTAAACAATTTTTTGCTGTAAGAGAATTGATAGTATCAAATAAAATTATCATTATCAGAATGTGTTTTGTGGAGATTTTTAGAAATTTTCACAGATTGAACTCATGAGTCAGTTGAAGCTAGACCACCATTGAAAACCTGAAAGCACTGGACGGCCGTTTCGTCCTAGTATGGGACTCCTCAGCAGTGCGCATCTACGACCCCGCACCACCCGGGGCTCGAACCCAGGACCTACTGGCTTCGCGCGCGAGCACTTAACCATTAGACCACTGACCCGGCATCCAACGGTGTTAATGTCTAACTTCAACCAATCCACGAAGTTGCGCCACCGTACACCATTGTCTTCAGTGAGTTCCTATCTCACAACAGACCTGGTTGGACTCCACTGGTAACGACTTCTCACTAGAACTGCAGGAGTGTCTCCTGAAGTCAGTCACTAGTGAGCAGGTGATTATTATTATTATCAGAATGTGTTTTGTGGAGATTTTTAGAAATTTTCACAGATTGAACTCATGAGTTCAATCTGTGAAAATTATCATTATTATTTGGCCTCTTAATTAACATATTAAGAATTTCTATCATTTCCATCAAAACAACTCATATCAGTGGATAAGATTATTTTCAATTAGGATTTATTCTAATATAAAATGATATTTGTATATATATATATATATAAAGTGTCAAACCGATAAAGATAGTTACCAGCTAAGTGATAACAATGCTATAGTTTACACAAACAAATGAGCAACAAAATAAAAATTCATAGTGATATGACAAGCGCACTGGTAATAATATAAATGATAACAGCTTGAATCGATACTCCAACATAGGAAGTAGATCAAAACACTAAAATAATGATCATTAAAAGTTATTAGAATTTTGTTATATGGACTTTTGAAATAATTTTGATTAGTGAAGAATGTGTGTGAAAAAAGGATTGAAGAAAAATAAACTAACAAACGATAAGCAAAATATTAATATGGATAATAAATATATTAATGATAATTAGTTAAATTGTATATTAGGCCTTAATGAATCTAAAGGTAACAGATATGACAAGTTTCTTCAGTATTTGTTGTTATACTGATATAGAAGACGAGATTAGACCCAGTTAGGAAATGACGAAGGTTTACGGTAGATTACCATTTTCAACCAAGTGTGATAAGACGGAACTATGTATCATCGTTGTCCAAAGCTTTCCAAACCACGCAGGGGGGTTGTTTACTCATTCGTTGACCAATTTATCTTGTGATATGCTTCATATAGATTTTTCTACAACAGCGAATCAGTCTGTGTTTACATAAATGTTAGTGTATATTAGAGTATTTAATATTTAATTAAAACAATATTGTTTGCTTATATGTATTGTTCATAATTAACAATCAGATAATCCTCTAATCATACAATCAAATCATATCAGTGTGGCTGTTTCAGTAATGTAAACTATAAAATTCATCAATCGCCATAGACCACTTATATTAATAAAGTTCATACCGCGATCATCTCAGTCATGGGAAACGTGAAACAGTTACTTGTCGAAGTTAGAAATGTAATGTATTGAGTAATGGCTCACTTATTCGCAGGATAAGGTAAAACCGCCCGAACTGAAGGTCCTCTGCTCAATCTACGAATGGATTGTGAATAAAAATTGGTCAAATATTTTTATGAATTTCGTATAAATGACTGAAATACTTGCCGACATTGTAGGAGGAATAACGTTAGCCTGTAAAAATAAACAAAACTGTAGTCTAAGGATTGATTAGTTTCGCTTAGTTTTGGTTTCTACTCCACACTAAACTTAGTCATCATGTCAGTGGAACGTTTGACTAAACTAATTAATTTATTATTTATTTATTTGAACACATAAATATTGGTACAAGGGGGCACCAGATATATATGCACCATTAAACTAATTAAACCTCTTATCTACGTTATTCCTTTTGAATTAAACAAGATCTAACAGCTCAGGTGATATGCTAATCTAAATAATACAAAATGAAGAAGTGTATGTATTTAAAGCACAAAACAATTACATTATACTGCATTCTATCGAATTATATTGTGTTTTACTCTCATTTCCCTAAAAAACATTGGAACATAATGATTAAAACTTAAGAGTTACACACACAATTGAAACCTTACTCTATTTATATTGATTATTAGAACATACGGTAGTAGAAATCATGAATACATACACATTCACAAAATGCTAGAAGTGAGTCTTACGAATAAACAAACAAATTATTAGTTACATGATTACTGTGCTGCTTTATTACTATTATTATTATTATGACTACTTAATAGTAGCATATTTCCTTCTTGTCAGTAGAATACACAAAGTGGATTTCGATTAATAATATTTCCAGATAATAATCAAGCATCTTTTTTTTCATGTTGTGTTTTACCTCCACAGGAGTTTCATGAACAATTTAGCAACCTATATAAAACTTTCAAAAATTGAACAACCACGTCAAAGTGTCATGGTAAGTAATATGATTATTATGAATGGCTTTATTCCATTTTACATTATTGGTACAGAATAGAATTCTCAGCACAAAATATTTTGTGATCGGTTCTGACGACAAATATTGTGTGATTACCAGTTAGATGTTAGCAGTTCAGGAATCGACATCTGAATAATGTATATTGTTTTCGATGAATATAGCCAGCCATCACGATGTCTCTGATTGTACGTTTTTGTCAATTGTACAGTGAGATGTCGTAAACTGTTCATGAACGCTCCTGAAATATGTTGTGCAGTTAATAGACATAATGATGTGTTAAAACAAACAGAAGAACAGATAACTTATTGAAATATTTAGTTGGAAGGAACAGATAACTCAGATATTCAAGCAAGCCGCCCAGTGATATCAAGTAGTATATTATTAAAGAATATTTACACTTTTAAACATATCACCACTTGCTTTAATATTCACACTAATTGATCACTATATAAATGGTATTTAAAATTTAGTGTTTGTCCAATCCTTTTTTTAATGTTGATTGAATCTCATCGAGACAAAGTTGCATCAAAACAAATCAAATGTGATGTCAATTAGGCTTTGATTAATGGATTAACTGACTGTCCTAAATTGTTCAATACTAATGTTTCAAACTTCGCTGTTTTGTTTAATATCGATTCAAATCTCACCGTGACCATCAATTACCTTTAGTTTGTAATTACACCTTGTTTTACGTGTAAATAATGCTAATAAATCATGAAGCTTGATTAGTTCAGATATTCCTCACCATCAGCTTCAGCAGTAATCTAATAGAATAATGTTGAATTGATCTTTTTTTTTCATTAAACAAAACAAATGTTGAAGAAAATAACTAGTTGACTACTTAGTTCGAAAATTAAATCGTTGTTTTTATTTCAGACTTTGTTTTTTCTTGATAAAATTGTCAAGAAATATTCAAGTTCCAATTCAGTATTATAAAATGTTGTATTTAAGTTTAAGTTTTTATTATTAAATTAGTTACATAACAGTGATTCAATTCATCCTCAGGTATTTGCATAAATCAATTAGAAATGATTTAGAATGTAAAATATTTTGGTTTTTTGTTTTAAAAAGTTTATTATTAGGTTATGAAATTCTATCTTAATATCCAATCTGTATTATGTAAATCATTTTGAGTATGATTGTTACACAATTATTGTTGTGACCATTGTTCTAGGAACTATCACAATTTTGACTAGTAAAAACACGAAGTTCAGTGAATGGTTCACATTTCAACGTACCTACTATCAAGCTGCACAATCGTATATATATATAGCTTGATAATAGGTTCGTTTAAGAAAAACCTTTCGCTAAAATTCATGTTTTAAATGTTTAAATGGGGATTTTACGATAAAAAAAATAGGATCACAAAAACTAGTGCACATAGAGATTTTGTTAACCCTTCAAAACACGTTGTGTTTGACAAAAAATACACCCATTTATATAAATGTTTCTTTATATACGCTTGATATTGAGTTAAAAATATCACATAGAAAGAAAATACCATGAGACACTGTAAACACATGCTGAATTGCTACGAAGAATATAAATGTTACACTAAACAAAACTCATATTAAACTAATCCAAGAAATATCGACCTTTACATGACGTCTTATTAGTTACTTGTACGATAGTACATAACATTAAATAGAAATGGTCGACTTAAATGTATGCATTAAATTTGTCAACTCTGTACATTTATTATTATTATGGTTTAAGAGTCTATAACTTGTGGATATATTTTCTCAAAAGAAGCACATAATACCTTGATGAACCCGTTAATCTCCGTTGATTTAGATGGCCAAGATATGTGTTACATATAACAAACCACGGATTACTTTAATGATCTCTGTTGGCTGGATTGAAAGTGGGTTGTATGAAGCTACGGCCTTTCAAACCAACAGGTAGTGCCGATTCATGAAGTCACTAACTATCGGTATGTATTATATTAAGCAGTTGAAGTCCTCGCTATGATTGTGATTGTTTGGTTGAAATTTAGAAATGACTTGACACTCAAACCCGACCGTTGTTGCTACCTTGACGTGGTGGTCGGGCTTGCCTATCGTGATGAAGCAACCGAGCTATACTGGCTGGAACAACCGTTCCTCAAGGTCCTACCATGTCAGACAGGTCGGTTGAAGAGCGGTAAGACTAAAAGCAACAAACCCAAGGTCCGAAGGCGAAGTCGTACTACTGACTGTACAGAGGTGTGACAGCAGTAAGGTGTTTCCTTCAGACAACCAGCATGACAGCGATGCTGCCTTCCCACAAGGAGGGGTGGGGTTAGAAAAGGTCGACCCTAAAAATGCACACCTCGCCTTATCCCACGGATATCCGTCTCCGGCGGTAAGGTCTCAATAAGTACGGAGCTAACACAAAAATTACCCATAACAAGGTCGTGTGTGACCGACCTCAAGCAGTTGTCCCTTGGGCACTGCGGTCACGCTCTCAGGTCACTAAGACCACCTTTAATCCAAATTCCTTTTCAGGTACCCCCAGAACAACCCTTCCACGATGTGGGCAACCGGGAAGTGAAAACCGCCCTCATACCTCTAACAGCACTCAAGACCACTGTATTCATAATCAACCTTCCTCTTCAATTCCTATTATTCCTCCTACATCGACTTTCACCTTTAAATTTCCTCTCTCGGCCTCCACCTCAAGTGTCACCATAGCCAACGATTCTAGTGCGCAAAATACTGTCCCAGGTCTACTGAAACCTCGCTCCAAACTACACATTGGAGCCTTCAACGTACGAACCCTATGTCAAATCGGTCAGCAGGCTTCCTTGGCTAAAACCCTAGAGTCTCTTACCATTGACGTGTGCTGTGTCTCCGAAACACGCATACAGGATTCCAGTGTGGTCATTCACTTGACCTCACCTCGGCAAAACGGAGAGCCAACGAGGTACACCCTTTGTGTATCTGGTGACCTGATGGCAAGTTCTCGTGGACTGGCAGGTGTAGGCATAGCACTAAGCATGAGGGCCGAACAAGCACTGCTAGAGTGGATCCCCGTCAACAGTCGTCTATGTGCTGTTCGGCTGAACGGCTACGTAAGAACTCGGAAGGATAGGAACACACGTCGTTGCCTTTTTGTCGTTTCTGCCTACGCTCCCACTGACTGCAGCTCAGATGATGTGAAAGATGAATTTTACAGAAAGCTGTCCGAACTTCTTCAGAAAGCTAAACGCTCAGACATAGTACTCGTAGCAGGTGATTTTAATGCTCAGATAGGCAGTTTAAACCAAACAGAAAGGCATTTAGGTGGATATTTTAGTATTCCGACACAGTGAACAGATAATGGTGATCGTCTGCTGCAGCTATGCTCAGACAATCGTTTATTTTTAGCAAACACAAATTTTAAGCATAAGGAGAGACATCGTCTAACATGGCGACCCCCTACACCAAACCAACGATGGACTCAAATAGACCATATTGCCATCAGTCATCGTTGGAGAGGGTCGGTAGAAGATTGTCGCTCATTCTGGAGTACCTGCTTGGACTCCGACCATGCCCTAATACGGGCACGCATCTGCTTGCGCCTCACTGGACGCAAAAAAGCCACATTAAAAAGACCCGTTAGAACTGAGTTAAGTAACGAGAAAACCAGAAATAGGTTCCAGGAACAACTGAGGTCACAATTAGGTAGTTGTGAAGACGAGGCTGACCCAGATGTTGCTTGGAAGGGCATACAATCAGCTGTGGAAACAGCAGTGACATTTATTAGTGACTTAAACCACAGAGTTGTAAGGAACCAGTGGATTTCTTCAAGGTCTGTCACACTGATGGATTCTCGCAAACTCGTCCCATCAGGTTCTGAACATGATGAAGAGCGAAAACAAATCAGATCTAGGTTAAGAAAAAGTCTAAGAAACGACCGTGAGCAGTGGTGGGCATCGAAAGCAAAAGAGATGGAAAAGGCGGCGACTATAGGGAACACAAGACAGCTTTACAGACTAATAAAAGAAACTGGAATTAATAAGTCAAGTGTAAGTGAGATTATATCGGAAAAAGACGATACACTCATCTGCTCCAAGTCCAGGCGTTTAGAACGATGGGCGGAACACTTTAGGGAACAGTTCAACTGGCCTTCAGCTACTCTACAACTACCCTCCATTCCCAGACAGTGTGAATGGAACATTGAAGTAGGTCCCCCGACTCTTGCTGAAGTTCAAAAGACTATAGTTAATCTGAAACGAGGAAGGGCAGCTGGTCCAGATGGATTGGCTCCAGAGGTCTTTAAGGATGGTGGTCCAATTTTAGCGATTAAGTTGACTAATATTTTAGCTAAGATCTGGGAATTAGACTTTATCCCATCTGACTGGTCGCAATCACTTATCGTCCCAATATATAAGAAAGGGTCAAAATCATCCTGTGACAACCACAGAGGGATTAGTTTAACAAACATAGTATCTAAAATACTGGCCTCGATAATTATCAAACGCCTAACTAAGACTCGTGAACTACAAACTCGAGAGAACCAAGCTGGCTTTAGACCTGGTCGTGGCTGCATCGACCACATATTCACCATTCGTCAGGTTCTAGAACACAGGCATACCTATCGGCGTCCGACGATGGTGGTATTTCTCGACTTAAAAGCAGCATTTGACTCGGTAGACCGCGAGACTCTGTGGCAGTGTCTGTCATTGAAAGGCGTACCTCAGAAGTACATAAACCTTGTGAAGGCTCTTTACTCGAACACTACTAGTCGAGTCAGGGCTTATGGCGAACTGTCATCTACTTTTGCAACCTCAAGTGGTGTCCGTCAAGGCTGTCCACTTTCTCCATTTCTGTTTAACTTCATCATAGACCTATTGATGGAAATAACACTCTCGTCGACTGAATTCTCGGGTATTGATCTCCTTCCAGGAGGTCCACTTATCGACTTAGAATACGCAGATGACATAGTCCTGTTTGGTGAAGACGCTGACAAAATGCAGAGTCTTCTGGCAGCACTAAGCAACAATGCCAGAATGTTTG